CTCCTTGGAGGCAAGGATTCTGAGGCTCCGTCTAACATACTTTGGACATGTTGTGAGGAGAGACCAGTCCTTAGAGAGGGACATCATGCTTGGGAGGGTGGAGGGACGGCGCAGGACAGGAAGGCCCCCTTTGAGGTGGATTGTTTCAGTGACTGGGATAATTGGGATGAGATTGTTGGAGATAGTATGATTGGCACAAGACGGAGTGGAGTTTAGGGCTGTTGTACATAGGGTCACTATGAGTCGCAAGTGACTCAACGGCATAAAACAACAACAACAATATATTGAATAGGTGTGGAGTTAGGATATCCTTTATGTACATATTTATTGATTTTGATCCATGCAGTGTTCTCTTGTTCTGTTCCTAAGACAATTTCTCTAAGTTTAGATTTTGCATGAGCACAATTATAAATGGACTTTCCATTTATATAATTGCTAATGAAATCTGGTTTTATCTACACAGTCAAGTGCTTTTGCATATTCAGGAAAACATGAAAAGATATCCTTCTTGTATTCTCTGCTTTCAGCCAGGATCCATCTGATAGCAACAATGATGTCCCTACTTCCATGGGTTATTCCAAATCCAGCTTGAATTTCCGGCAATTCTCTGTCAATGTATTATAGTATTTTTTTTATAATTTTCAGCAAGATTTTATTTCCATGACATAATAGTGATGTTGTTAAAAACCCAATAGTCACAGTAATTATCTTTCTACTGTTGCTTTAACACTTCAAGAGAAGAAAAACTTTGACACTGATTTAAAATGAAGATAAATAGATTATGACAGTGGGACAAATGGGCTGATATAGCCCAAATACATTGCCATCAAGTTGATTCTGACTCTTAAGAGTCTACAGAAGAGAATTGTCCCATAGGGTTTCTAAGACTGTAATATTTTATGGGAACGGACTGTCACATCTTTCTTCAGTGGAGCAGTGGGTTAGAACTGCTGATCTTTCAGACAGCATCAAAGTGTTTTAACCACTGCATCGCCAGGTATCATTAAGTGGTTGATTTTGTTGTTAGGTGCCATCAAGGTGACTATACCTTATAGTGATCCTATGAATACAAATTGACAGAAGTGCCCTAAAATAGCTGCCATGGTATATACACGTCTATATGAAACATAGGTAAGTTAGTAAACTGGATGAAAAGGAAGAGTGGATTAAATGAAAATGCTAGAACTGTAGAACTAGAGTGAGTAAATTGGAAGAAGAGAAACTTAAGATTAGAACAGTAACATGTTGAGTTTTAAGATTTCAAAGATGGAGTCACTTAGGGTAATCAAAATATCCAAGATGGATCATGAGTATGGTTTTCTAGAAAGGACAAATAATGAAAAACCATGCAGTTAATGTCAAGTAACATTATCCAGAAATTGCTGAATAATTTGACTCTTTGAACATGGAAGTAAACTAGGAGGGTGGCTAGATCTTAAAATATTTGTTACAAGCTCAAAAACAATGAGCTCTCTACAACAGTGTAATAAACCTAGGAAGTAGATAATAGTAATAAATAAGGGTAAAGGGAGGTAAGGATCAATTGCATGATCCCTAATAGAAGAAGTGTTGGAATATAAACTTTTACCTTTGCATGTGGTTCCATTACCAGTATAGCCTGGCTTGCAAACACAGTTATGTCCTCCAACAGTGTTGAAGCATAAAGCATTTTCATCACAGTTGTGTTGATTCGTGATGCACTCATCATGTTCTGCAATTAGGAACACAATTTTGTTACTCAAAGATGTTCAGACATTATGTTTTTAATCAGACTTTATATATTGATTATTGTATGATATTTCTTTCAATACAAATATAAATTGTAAATTAGTTGTTACTGTTGTTAGGTGCTATCACATCAAGTATGAGTAACAGCAACCCTATAAACAGAGGGTGTGGATCTTCTCTTATCCTGGGTCATCTTCACATTTCCTAACACACTAGAGTCCACTGTGGGAATCACCATGTCAATCTACATGGTTGAGAGATTCTTTTCCTTTTTCAACTATCCAACTTTCCAAATATCACGTCCTTCTCTAAGGAATAATAGACCTTCCTATAAACATGCCTGAAGTATCTGAAGTGAAGCCTCACCATCCTTGCCTCCTAAGAGCAATCTGGCTAGACTTTCTCCAAGATATATTTATTTGTTCTTTGATTATGTTTAGCACTCTTCATTATTACTGTCTAGGTTTTTAAGTGCTGTATGTTGTTGTTATATGCTGTTGAATGACCTAAGACTCATAGCTGTGAACAATATGGACAATATCTCTGAATCCTGAGCCAGTCTCACTGACTCCAACACACCTATTGTCATTATCCCAGTTAATGTATCAATCTATTTTGTGCTGTGTCTTCATGTCCTATTCTGTCCCTCTACCTTTCCAAACATGATTTCCATCTCCAAGGACTTTTCCTTCCTGGCCACATGCCCAAGTATGGAACGTCAAAATCTTTTTCTCTAAGGAGATACTTGATTTCAACCTCTTCAAGGTACAGTTGCTTGTTCTCTTGACAGTCCACTGTCTGTTCAATACTCTTCTCTAGCACCACAGATCAAAGTTACCGATAAGTCATCATACTTAGAATTGTCCAGCTCTCTGATGCATAGCAAGTAATTGAAAAGACCATGGCCTCTAGATTAACATTGCCCTTTAGAACTTTGGAGAATTCCCTGACAGCAGACTTCCCCATGTAATTCATCTTTTTATTTTCTCACTGCTGGTGCCACAGCCAAGCAAGCTGAAATTGTTAACAACCTCAATCTCTATTCTCTCTATAGTGGTGCTGCCAATTGGCCCAGTGGTGAGAATCTTTGTCTTCTTGATGTTGAGCTTCAATCCATATTAAAGACTACAGTCTTTTGGCCTTCTGCAGCAAATGCTTTAGGCATAATCCTCTTAAAATACATATAAGAATTACAGGGAAGGATGTTAAATGATACTGCTTCTTGAGTTCTGACTTGCAGAACAATGGAGTTGAAGCCCTGAAAGGTAGGTGCTGCAAATTAACACATATTCATACTTTCAGGTGCAAAGACACAGATGTAAACTACTGGAGAACATTTAATTGCTTCAGTAAGTTACTTCTTGCAAGGAAAGTTGCTGCTTTTATGTGCCATCACGTAAACTACAACTCACAGTGATCCAATCAACAATAGCTCTGAAGCCTGTCCTGTCTTGAGTTAATCTCACTGTCTCTGACATGCCTTCACTCATTGCCACAGAACTGTGTCAATTTATCTCATTCAGGGCATTCCTTCTCTAAACTCTCTACTTTTCCTAAGTGTGATATCCTTCTCCAGGTAAGTACTTGGCCCTCCTGACAGGATGTCAGGAAAACATTTCACTTTTATTAAATAAGACAAAGTTGCTGTTATAATACATGCAAATACAAAATTAATTTAAATTTAAGGAAAGTAGTCTTCAGTCTTCAATATGGATAGAAGCTCAACATCAAGAAGAAAAGATTCTCACCACTGGGCCAATTGGCAGCACCGTAATAGATAAAGAAGAGATTGAGGTTTTTAACAATTATGGCTTGCTTGGCTTTACAATCAAGTGTTACCACCAGCAGTCAGGGAATCAAAAGATGAATTGCATTGAGTAAATCTCCTGTGATGGCTCTTTCCAGAATACTGAAAAGCAATGTCAGTCTGGAGACCAAGGTGTGCCTGATCTAGACTATGGTCTTTGCAATTACTGACTACACATCAGAGAGCTAGATAACGACTTAGGATGACAGAGGAAGAATTGATAGCTTTGGGTTGTGGTTCTGGAGAAGAATCTTGAACATACCATGGACTGCCAAGAAAACAAATAGGTCTGTCTTGGAGATAGTGAAACTAAGTTTCTCCCCAGAGCCTAGTGTTTTGAAGCTCCATCTCATATACTCTGGGCACATGACCAGAAGGGATCAGTCCCTGGAGAAGAACATCATGCATTAGAAGAGTGGAAGGACAGCACAAGAAGGGAAAACCCAGGATGAGATGTACTGATGCAGTGACTCAGGCAATGGGGGTTGGTGTGTCAGAATCAGTGAGACTGGCTCATGACAGGTCAGGCTTCAGAGCTGCTATACATAGGGTTACTATGGGTCACAGGCGAAGTGACTGCATGTAACAACAAAAACAACAACATACCACCAATATGAGACCTCCTTAAAAAATGTCATCACCTGATATTTATGAAATATTGAGTTATGTGAGCTAGGCAGAACCAGTATCATTAACACTATTTTAAGGATGAGTTGATATGTTTTCCAGTGCTTACATAGCCTGCCCCTATTCCCCAGAAATTCTAAAGCTTTATATCACATAATTCAGGCATGTTGCTAGGAAGGGCTATTCCTTGGAAAGGGAAATGATGCTTGTAAAGGTGGAGGTTTAGCAAAAGAGAAGACGACTTTCAACCAGGTGAAGTCACACAGTGACTGCAAGGGGCTCTATTGTCAGATGCGTGAGGATGGCATAAGATAGGAAAGGGTTCAGATTTGTTGTTCACAGGTTCATTATGGGTCGTACTCAACAGCACCTAATGACAAGAAGTCAGTAAAAACCTAAGGAAAGAATATGGTGAATATGAAAAGAAAAATTGATCTAAACTAAAGATCAAAACAAATAAGAAATGACAAACAAGGAGGACCTGCTGAAAATTAGTTTAGTCCTCTAAAATCTCTTGGCAACATTACTTATAATCATGGCCATATTTATAGTCTCTTTATATGAATTAATTTAGGCCTAAAATGAGATACATTTTAATACATTAACACTGATATAGCCATTAACTTATTATGTAAATTAAAGAGAAAAGAAATATTTGGTTTTTATTTTAAAACTCTTTGTGTTCTGGACTTTATGGTGATGGTATATCTAAAATTTCAAATAAAAATTGCCCTGGCATACACAATTGAGACCAGACTAAAATCACTCATACTATGGAATTAGATTCTCTATTTTTTAAAAAAATAAAGATTAATTTTTTACTTTGATATTATTGTTATTCAATGCTTCTGAAGTACAAAACTATGATAGCTTTAATCACATCCTTGTAATAAAATGCTTAGGGATTCTTTCTTTCTTTTTTTGAGATTATTTCTAAAAACCTTTCAGTGGAATAAACCCATTCTAACCAGCAAGGTTTTTGCAATGCATAAATGACCATCTTATTTTCTGAATTCCTAGCTGAATTACCCCAAATTGCACAAAATTCTGTACTTATTATCTAGTAGCAGAGAATTGTGCAATTTGTATAAATTCATGCCTATTATCGACAGTTTAGGAAAAATAGCTAGATTATACATGAGCTTCCTAATTGGACCCACCCTAGAGGACAATCGTAACATTTCAGAGGGACCAAAATGGTCTCATTACCCACAATGAACCCACCTACCTTTGAGTTCAGCTGCCCGAAGCAAAATAAATCCCCATTCTGAAGTTTGCACCTGCTGCCAATTTTCTTCCCAGTGCAATTCAAAGTACTGCAGTTAATCTATAAATCTCTCTATGGCCAGCCCTGGGCTCTTTAATGACAGCTGCTGATTGATTTAATGCTCTTTACATCCCTGCCTTGGTTGTCTTCTTAATTAGACCGTACTCACTGGGTAGAAGTAGTACCTAACCAGATTCAGTTTAGCACCCAGTATGATAATGCTCAATACACATTAAAAAATTATGTACCCAAAGTCCAGTTTTCTATGTTGCCATTTATTCTCATGATTATTGAAATGAGTTTGCTCTGAAACAACTTAAGGGTAAGGATTGTTTTCAAATAGATCCACACCTTAAGATTTACTCTTCCCCAGGCCTGAAGTACCCTCTCATTGGTTCTCCCGAAAACCTCCTTTTTTAAAATGATCATAATAAAATATGATGTTTTGTCTGAAAATAGCATACTCCCTGCCCCTGCAGAGTTAGGCACTATTGTCTCTGTTGCTTATCATTACATAGGTGGGTGTATTATTATATTTTATCTTAAATATTTTTTTCTTATTTTTCCATTATCAAACTTCATCCTAGGGTTGGAAAATTTGGAGAAGGTTATTGTCTTGTTCTTTGTATCTCATGTCAGCATTCAAGGAATGTTTCTTGTGTTAAAGATTACATAAGTGAGTGACTAAAATAAGAAACCAAAGAACTAGCTATACCTGAAATTATTATTCAATCAAAATATAATTTGCAGACTACTTATTTATGATATTTTTCACAATGGCTTCAATGTACTTGGGTTTTATATAATCTGGAATATTTCAAGTAATAAAGGTACTAGGTTATATTTTTCAAAAAATAAATATTAGTTCCTTAACACTATCATTCTTTTTCGTTTTTAAACTTACTTAAAATAAAGTTGGCTACAGTTTTTATGATGTACCAAAGTGACAAGTGATCACAGAAAAAGTCTTTAAAAATGGTTATAATTAAGAAGAAACAATTTTAATTGATAGTCTTTCAAAAGCAGAATAAAGAATCTCTTGAGAAGTAGTTAATTACTAATTTCACCATAGAGAGTGTGGTAACCATCCAACAGTATTATTAATATCACACAAAGCAAAATCTTGAAGGTCGACCAAAAACAAATGGAACCACCAGCTATCCAAGCTGAGTTTAGAAGAGACCTTGGCGCTAGAGACACATCATTGCCAATGTCAGATCCTGGCTGAAAGCAGAGTACAATAAGGAAATAAAACCTGTCAAATGGGGAAATGACAACCTCT